CTTTTTCACCTCCCGATTCGTCGGGGAGGGTCCCTGGAAGCCCTGACGCTCATGTTGGTTGGCAGCATTGACCACGAGAGAGTCAGGTGTGGGATGTGTGTATAAATGCTCGTAACCCTTGGACGGCACAAAGTAGCGTCTTTCGTTGCACTTAACCATAGGGGGCAATGAGGCTGGGGTCTGCCACAGAGTTTTCATGGTGTTAGAGATGGTCTTTATGAGGGGCAGGGCAATCCGTGCAGGTCCAGAGGGGGTGAGGAGGTCCACCATTGGATCTGCATCCTCCACTACCTCCTCCGCTTGAATGCCCAGGCCCTGGGAATCCCTCCACAAAATTGCTGCAGAACCCTGTTGTCTTCCAAGGCTGGGACTGTCACCGTGCCCTCCAATGCCTCATCTGGCGAGGAAGGAAGAGACCCCCGTGAGGGGTGGCTGCTCCCTTCCTTCTGCACTCAAGGGATCCCGCGGCACCTGGGTTTCTTGGGCTAGTGCCAACCCATATGGTGTTGTGCCCCTCAGTATAGGGGCTGCATACACCGACGCAAGCAACGCTGGTGCCAAAAGTGCCATCAGCGCCAATGTCATCCTTGACATCGGACTCGCCGCCGGTGCCAGAATCGTCATTGGTGCCGGAGTCCCCGCCAATGCCGGGGCTGCCGGGACCCCCGGGCCCAGTGCTGGCTGCACTGGAGGCATTGAGATGGTAGCGAAGGGTGGTAATAGGCCTACCCCCGATCCTGCTGGTGCTGGCGGGGATACAAATAAGGCCGAGGCCACCAACGTCGCCCTGGAATGAGATCCTTGGCTGCAACCTTGGCTTTCCTTTGAAATGCCCAGGGAGTCCAAAATAGCTATGGTGCCGGGGCTGCCATTGGGCGGGCCACGGTGCCGTGTAAGGGTGCCGGTGCCAAGCTGACATGGACCGTCTGCTCCTACTCCTCCGGGAATGATAGGAGCCCGACTCCGAGGTGTCTGAAAACAATGACCATGGGGGAGTGGTACTTCTTGGCACCAAGCTTTCGCGCTGAGGGCTCGGGGATCGGAGCGACTGCTGGGTGTGCTCCGGTGCCGGGGAGTGGCCTCTGGTGTTGAAGGGAGGTGCAGCTCCTGGCTCGGCCTTGGCAAGCGAGGAGAGTCTGGACTCAATCGCCCTTCCACGTGGGCAGGAGTTGGCGTGACCATCACCAGTGGTGCAGCACTAGTGTGGCCTGACTCAGGTCTCACAACGGCAGGCTCCTTAGGCCTAGCTGGGGGAGAGTGACCCCTCTCCGGCCTCTTCTTCTTTTGCAGCACCGACAATTGCAAACGGTGCCTGCATGTGGCATCTGAGCCACGAGTGGAGCAGGGACGGTGCCATGAGTCCTTATCCTTACCCGGCACCGGTGCTCGTGCTGATGGTGCCCGAGCGCTCTGCACTGAGGAGGAGGTATTTGGCGCAGGGTCCATCGACACAGAGTCAGACTGGGGAATAGAGTGCTGCCTTCATCAATAGGACCTTCAGGCACTGTTCTCTATCTTTTGAAGTCCTGGGCTGAAAAGTCTTACAAATGGCATGACAATCCTTCTGATGGCCCTCTCCTAAACACTTAGACATGAGGTGTGAGGATTGCTTCTGGGTATACACTTGCTTCAGGCTTTGCAGGCTTTGAAGCCCGGAGACCCTGGTGTCAGGAGAGCGTAGGAGAGCCCCCCCCCCCCCCCACAGAAACTTATCTAACACTAATGAACTACTAACTATTAACCAAAAATGGAAAACTAATGGAGAACAATGTAAGAAACTGCTAAATGCGCTTGTCAAGACAAGAGCACAGGGAAGTTTCAGCTAACCATCACTGGCGGTAAGAAGGACCTGAAAGGGTCGTGGGTCAACAGGGCTCTATATTGGGCGCCATGAAGGCGTGACTCCAGGGGATGCCCAGGCCGACCTGATAGATGCTGCTAGGGGAAAAAATCTTCCAGCTACCGTGCACGTGCACGTGCACATGCACGGCACACACCTGATTGGAATCGACATGAACAAGCACTTGAAGAAGAAGTCATGTGCCCTAGCCCCCTAATCATTTTTGTTGCCCTCCACTGGACTCTCTACAATTTGTCCACGTCCTTTCTGTACTGGAGGCCCCAAAACTGGATGCAGTACTCCAGATGTGGCCTCACCAGTGCCCAGTGGGCACTCACCAGTGGAGTGGAGTGGCATGAAGTGGGGAAGGGATAGCTCAGTGGTTTGAGCATTGGCCTGCTAAACCCAAGGTTGTGAGTTCAGTCCTTGAGGGGGCCATTTAGGGATGTGGGGCAAAAATGTGTCTGAGGATTAGTGTTGCTTTGAGCAGGGGGTTGGACTAGATGACCTCCAGAGGTCCCTTCCAACCCTGATATTCTATGATTCAATAGAGGGGAATAATCACTTGCCTCAATCTGCTGGCAATGCTCCTACTAATGCAGTCCTTTAGCCTTTTTGGAAACACTGTGACACAGCGAGGTGTCCTTAGGGGATCACAGCTGGGGAATTCCTGGGAAAACGGGGCCCAGAGAGAGATTTGCTCCCAGACAGCATGAAGGCTTGCTCTGCTTCAGCTGCACCTCTCTGGTCACACCAGGATCAGCAACAGTGGGGCTGATCCCACACCCTCCTTCACATGCCAGCACAGCTATCACAGAGACATGGTAGGGAGACATGGAGGGCACTCAAGGGAGGCTTACGGGGAGGCACTCAGGGGCTTACAGATTCAAAGCAAATGATGCCAATAAATGAATGTTATAACTTATGGCTGTTTACAACACAGTAGCCCCCGGAGGTGCCAGTGTAGATTAGATCTGGGTGCTGCACCCACACACAGAGAGAGACTGGCCCTACCCCAGAGAGCTCTGCAGCTAAATGAGCACAGGGCTGGAGGGGAAATGGAGGCCAGGGACGTGATGTGATTTGCCCAAGGTCAGTGACTGAGGTGGGATGGACCCCTGTCTCCTGACTCCCAGGTCAGTGTCTTATTCACTAGCCCAGATAGGGCCTAATCATGTTCCCTCTCTCAATGTCAAAAGGAGGGGAGTGAAGGTTGTGTAGCATTCCCTGGGAATCAGTCAGCTGTTTCCCTCCTTAGCACAGGGTTGCTGGTGCGGGACGGGGTGGGGACCAGCTGGGAAATCTCCTAGTGTTGAGCCCATTGATTCTGCCCCGTTAGTAAAAAGCTGCCTTGAGTTTATCCTGCTGCTCCAGTTCTGCCCCAGTGACCTTTGAGGTGGGGGCTGGAGTGTGGGGGTGGGATAGAAATTTCCGCAGAAACTTAAAGTCACCAGTTTCTTTCGTTCCTTTTTCCTCCTTCGATCTGTAAAACCCTAACACTGTCCAGATCCTCCCTGTTGGCCCGGATCACTTCGTCCCACTCCATGTTGTTATTGTTCTGTTTCTGAGGAGGATTAGGGTGAGCTCCCCCTCCCATCCCCCCACCCACATATGGGATCCACAAATGCGCCTAGCATTTTCCACCGAGCTCAGCAGAAATTCACCCAGAAGGTCAATGACCAAAGAAAGGGACGATCCATCATAAAACAAACTGTTTTCATTTCCCAGGATAAAGGGGAGGGGGCTGGGATTGAGAAAAAGAACAAAACCATGAAAAGAAAACAACCCCAGCTCCTTCTCTGCAAAGACAACCTTCCCCATTTGCAGGAATGTGACAGCCAAAGCTCTTAATATGATTATCGTAATTATTTCTTTACTAGAAATTTTTCTAAACAGCCTCTTTTGAAATCCACGCTCAGGGAGCCAAATCTCCAGCTGAGTCCTGGGCGGAAGGACAGAGCAGAGGGAGGCGTGGGGAGGAGAGAGAGCGAATGTGTGCATGCATGTGTGTGTGCGTGTGCATGCCTGCGTTGGGAAGGCATGGCTGCAGAACCGGCCTGAGACACTTTCTCAAGTTAAAAGGCTGTGAAAATGTTATGGTTCCCATGGCAATAAGTGGGCCCTAGCAGGCGTCTGCTAGGATTTCTCTGTTTCTCTGCCCTCAGCTTGTTCTATAAGTCCTTTAATTGTCTTTCTCCCACTCTCTGCCAATTTCTCCCTCTCCCTCAGCCCCCTTCTCTCTTCCGTCTTTATCTCTGAGTTTTGCACCCCCTTCTTTCACTGGGACTGGCTTCTGGGTCCCTCTTTCTGTGCCACGGTTCCTCGGCCCTTATCGTATACCAGTGCAGCCCCCTCCTCCCTCAGCTCCCTCTGCCTCCCCATGCTCTGAATCCCCTTCTGCTTCCCTGTGTGGTCCCTCCCAGGGTCGGACTTTGAAATCTGTTGAAAGGAGCCCATTGTTGCCAAAATAAACAGCCTGTCATGTTAAATTACTCTCTCTCCTCTTTCATGTTTTTTAATTTTCTGTCCCCCCACTCTCCTGTCCTTTTGTGGTGGGGGCCATTCTCTCGCTCTGATGCTGATTCACCAGAGCTGTTAGCCAGGGAGCAGAGCCCAGATCGTAGACAGCACTGGGCTAGGGCTTGCACCTGGCCCTTACTCCCCAAGGGTTTGAGCCAGCTTGTGCCATCTGCAGTGGCTGGTGTAGAAGCGATGGCTATGGGAAGCTCGCAGCTGCTCCCCGTGTAGTGTACCCAGCAGGAAGGCTCTGGGGCACTTGCACGGGACGAGAGCGCACAGCTACAATATGTTTTGGGTCTGTTACGAATGCTGCGCTAGTGTTGTGTGACGGCCGTCACCAGGGACTGACCCCTGGACCCCCAGAGCTAAAAGCACGAGCTGCTACAGATTGAGCTAAAGAGTCAGCCCTCCATGGCTAGAGCTGCTGCTGCAAGGACTCCTCTCCTCTCTGGTGGGCATGGCATGGGGCCTGTAACACACTCCCTTGTGGGCAACAGTTGCATTGATGGCTGGACTCAGGGCAAAGCCCCAGTGCAGGTGAGGCCGAACTTGTCTCCTCTGTCAGACTGGCTTGCTTAGACTCTTGGCAAGCAGAGAGTTAACCCACAGTGCACAGATGACCCAGAACAGCCATACATACCTCCCTCCCCGCAGAGTCCCTCTCTCTTGCCAGCTCCTTTATGTGCTCGTTCAAGCTCTTGGCCTCTCTCTGATGGGCAGCCACTGCGTCTTCAAACTGAGCCTGGAAGGTGTGCAGCTCTCCAGTGATACTGGTGACTGTGTTCTGGGGGGGGGGACCAGGAGGGGACAGTGCCGTCAGTGATGCTCAGTCTCCATGCCCATGTGTGCCAGGCTGGCTGCATGCCGTGCTGCTTTACCTCTTGCACTCATGCTCCAACCAGCTAACCCCCATGTGTAACACACTCACCGTCGGCTGGCCCCACGGAGCCTGGAGCGTAAGAACTGTGGGGAGGAGTGTGCTGGTTTGCAGGACAAGGCTCTGTAAGCCAGTGGGTGATGCCAAAGGGCCGCTGCCTCCTCCCTAAGCCAGGTCATCCCTGGTGGCAGACAGTGCCCATGCTGCTTAAGGGCCCAGTGCTTTGCTTTACAGCTAGGGTGCACTGCAGAAGGCCCAGGTGACAGCCACCACCTTGGCCAGGGCCTGAACCAGAGACCTCCAGAGCTAAACATGAGGGCTGCTCCAGCTTGAGCTAAAGCTCCAGAACTGGGACTGTGACGGACTGGCATCCTCCGTGCATCAGACACAGGGGGCATGGAACACATGCGGGCCATCCCTGTTTTCCTCTGTCCAGCTCCTGCACTCCCACGCCGCGCAACTCCCCTCCCTGTCTTCCTGACATGTTTCCATGCACCTTGCAACACAGTCACAGCAAGGCCTGGCTCCCATCCCACCCCCAGTGCTGTGCACTGGGAGGGACTGTGTGGTGCTGCAGTGGAGTGAAAGCACTGTGAGTTCACAGTGAGGGCCATTTGCTTCCATGGGCCAATTCCCCATCCATGTAGATGTAAGTCAGAGGAGAATCACGAGGGGATTCACCCCTGTGCCTGTACTGAGCCCAATGTGTGCCCTTGATCCTTGGACTGCTGGGGCTGGTTAGCCTCCAGCCTGTCCAAGCAGCCTCACAGGCCAGCCTCTCCTGGGTATAGTGTCCCCCCAGCAGCTGGGAATGGCTGGGTTTAGCAATGTCCCAGCCATGCCCCCAGCACACCTCCTGGACCGGAGGGCTCGTGCAGGGCGTCATGCAGGGCAGCTATTCCAGCTCTGTGCCTGGAGGGGGCACCCTCCTCCTGTAGGGGGGCCTGACACTTGTGCTTGCACAAAGGGGTGAATTCCCCCACATAGGACAAGACAGCAGCCTGGCCTTGCACATGCAGTTGAGCAGGGGCATGGCCTCCCCACATATCCACTGCAGGAGCAGGCAGAGGGGTAGGGACTGAGCTGAGCTCCACTGCCAACATGCCTGCAAGCACAGCAATGCTGGCACATGGGGGTAGCAATCTGGTCTGGGCCAGCCCCCTTCTAGAAGCCAGGGGGAAGGGGGCAGGAATTGTGCCTCTTAACCAGGGCTCCTAGCAAATGGGCAGCAGTCCATAGCGTTTAGCCAGGAAGGGTGTAAAGGGCATCGTCAGCTGTTTCCATATGTTCTCTTTTTCCCTTTCCATTGTGCTGGATGCCCGTTTTGATTCTTTACTGTGTCCCATGATCTGCCCAGGATTTTTTCTCTCCTGCATTTCTAATGGAACTAAAATTCGTAGAATCATAAAATGCAGAGATGGAAGACGACCTATTAGATCATCCACCTCAGGCCCCTGCCAATGCAGAACTGCTCCCTGCAGAACATTCCCGCGTGACTTGTCTAGACCAAGTATGAGCAGTTCCAGCGAAGGGGCTTCCAACACTTCCCTGAGAAAATTATTCCATGGTTTAATTGCCCTTATTGTTAGGAAATTTTTCCCGATGTCTAGCCTAAATTTTTGTTTGTGAAGTTTGATCCCATTATTTTGTCACTCCTCCCTGAACTACTCTATACAATCAGTCTCTCCGAACCTGCAATCACTTTTGTTGCCTCTCTCTGAATTGACTCCCGTTTGTCACTATCTTCCTTGAAATGGGGCATCCAAAACTGCTACACGCAGAATTCCAAAGGTGCTTGAACTAACCCGTTACCTCTCTGGGTTGGGATGTTACGGGCCAGATTCTCAGCTGGTGTAAATTAACGTAGGACCACTGACTTCCATGGAATTATGCTGATTTGCACCAGCTGAAGATATAGCCTGTGGGGATACAGCCTATGGACCCCCAGGAAGTGACTGTTAAAACTCTAATCAACTCCAACAGGAGGAGCCTCAGACTTTCACCCAGCACGGTCAGTTTCTGCCCCCAGAACATGCTGTAGGGGGATAAAAAGACTGCTATCCACTGTCACACCTCAGCATCTCCTCCCTGCTTTGTAGATTTATGCTTTCCCCCTGCGCCCAAAAGGTCCTAGACCCTGATCCTGCAAAACTCAAGTGCTTAACTTTACTCATATGAGCAATGCTACTGAACTCAGCAGGGTTCCTCAGCTGTGCGAGCGCTTGGGAGCTTGGGGCCCACTTCGATTTTTTTCCAAGTTAAAAGCTGGTTAATCCTTGCCCATTTCTCTCCTCTCTCTGCGTCCATGTATATTTTCTCTGCAGCCTCCTGGATGTTTGCATTGATTTTATATTATCCAGGCTGCAGTGGGGATTCCTGGGATATCTGCATGAAAACACCTTCATTTGTGTGGTATCCCACCAGCAGCATTTATATTGCTACAGCGGATTTACTCATAAAGCATACACAGAGCATCCCCTGGCATTTCCTAGGGCTCCTCACAAACTAGGGCTTTCTGCTCTGGATGCAAGAAATAGCCTGTATCGAGATACTCCGCCTTAGGAGGGGCTTCAAAGCAATGCGCTCACCCTACCCATTTCTGTCTATATTACTGTATACCTAGTATTGCTACAAGCAGCCCCAAAGCCATCCAAAGCCAAGAGCATTTGACCACTCGCTCACTTGCACTGTTTCTCCTGTGTACTAAAGGGAGGCCCCAATTCTGCCAGCTAGTCCTCCCAAACGGCCCCTTGTCCATAGGGCACCATATTGACATCAGGCCTGTGTGGAACCGTACTCTAGTCAGCGTGGCTTTGGGTGGCCATGCACTTGGCAGGATCAGGGCTAGTGTCAGTGGTTTCCCTGAGATCTGTGTGGGTCTCTCACACAGCAACAGGGGAGACAAAACCGCACTTGAGCCGAGGACAGCACAAACCTGTCAAGGGGTTTCATGGGCAGGGGCAGCACCTGACACTACACTGAACTCATTTTTTGGAAGCTGACTAGATTACAAACTGTCTCTTTAAAACCCAGCATTTTATTGCAATCCTCTGACATGGGGCGGGGGTGGGGAGGAAGGACACACAACTCATCAGCTCTCTACAGACCTGATTCTGATCGCAGTTTTCCAGGTGTAAATCAGGGACAGCTCCAGCAAAGTCAATGGAGTTCAGTCAAGTGAGTGAGCAGAGCTGGGCCCAACATCTGCCAGTCTGGGGCATTCCACCAACAATAACGGTGACAAGTAAGCAAGGATGGAAGATCTGGGGGGCTACCAAGAAAGGGACAGATCCTCAGTTGGTGTAAATAGTACAGACCAGTGGATGTCAATGGAGCTTTGCTGATTCACACCAGCTGGGCGCGCGGCCCATTGACTTCCACAGAGCTATGCCAATTTACATCATCTGGGGCTCTGGCTCATTAACTTTCATGGTGCTATGCCAATTTACACCAGCTGGGGATCTGGCCTCATGTTTCATTGAGGGACTCTTAAGTGCTCCCAATGGGCCCATTATTCCACTTCCTGCTCTGCCGCTCTGTCACATGCAGCCTGGCCAGCAAAATTCTTTATAACTCTGAGAGATGTGTGGAGAAAAAGCAAACCAAAGCCTCGAGCTACAGGCAAAGATGCAGATGGGGCACATGGCATCTGGGACTGAACAGGATTCCACTTCCCTTCTGTGTTTTGAAGGGCTTGTCTGCGAACTAGCGAGGCATAAACTGTAGAGCACTCTAACTGCCCCCTGGAGACCCTGCTAGTGTGCTCTAAGTAGTACCTAGTGCGTGTACCATAGCTCTGTTTGAAGCAGGACTGCATCGGCACAAACTAGCTGCCTTTTAAAACTTGTCAGCAGAGTCTACACAGGGCAGTTAGAGCACTACACACTAGAGCATTCTACAATTCACACCCCTCTAGTTCACACTGCGGTGCTGGGTAGATAAGTCCTTAAGGCTACACTGGCCCATGAGTTGCCATCTGAGCAGAGAACTCATCTGGGCTGGAGGGGTGGGGAAGCTCCAGGAAATGAGAGACTCTTAGGCCAGGTCTTTTTTTCTGGTGCCAGAAGCTGTTTTACTGGGTTGCAGGCTACATATGATTTCTCCAAGGAATGTCAATTTCAGAGCCATGCATAGAGCAGGATGAAGAAATACAAGGCAGCTTCCAGCACTTCATTGCAACACACGGGCTCCCTGGAGATGCCTCTGTGGCTTAGACTCACTCTCTGCCCTGCCCATTCTCTGTTTGGTAGAGCCCCCTCCTTACACGACTGTGAGGCACTGCCCACAGCACACAAACAGGAGAGAACTTATATAATCAAACCATCTTTGCCTTAACCCCTTGGCTGCTGAGTCCAGCAGCAACAAGACCACACCAATTAATGAATTATGTGTGGTACATCCTCAGCAGTGTATTCTCAGTGTAAATCCATGGCAATGCCAGGAAAGTCATTCTGGAGGGAGCTAATGATAGAGCACTGTGGGTGTCAGAAGAGGAACCATCCAAGATGACCCTGCAGGAGTGTTTGGTAGGTGAGCAGGGCCTTTCTAGCCAGAGGAGAGCATGATTAGCTGTGTCTAGGGGAGCGCACAGCTAGGCTAAAAGGCTGTGCAGCTTGGCCAGGGAGAGGCTGTTGGTGACCTGGCTAAGGGCAGTTTGAGAAGAAGAGGGGCAGGCAGCCAAACTGCAGGAGGTGTAAATGGGGGAAGTCGAGGCAGTGGGAGTATAGCATGTGCTTGAGAAGTATGGAGGAGGGTTGGCAGCTAGAGAGGAAGGTAAGGTCAAGGAACTATCTCGGAGGACAGGGAGACAGCAGATTGGTTGGAGGCAGAGTGCAGGAGCCAGGTAACCAGCAATATCTGAGGACAAGGAAGAGGGATGGACTAAGGTGTGTTCAAGGGAGGTCAAGAGTGCAGCGGGATTTGGGCTGAGATATGGGCTAGAGTAGTGGTTCTCAACCAGGGGTACACGTGCCCCTGGGAGTACACAGAGGTCTTCCCAGGGGTACATCAACTGATCTAGATGTTTGCCTAGTTTTACAACAGGCTACATAAAAAGCACTAGTGAAGTCAGTACAAACTAAAATTTCATACAATGACTTGTTTATACTGATCTATATACTATACATTGAAATGTAAGTACAAGATTTATATTCCAGTTGATTTATTTGATAATTATATGGTAAAAATGGGGCAGTAGCAATGTTTCAGTACTCATGTGCTGTGACACTTTTGTATGTTTATGTCTGATTTTGTAAGCAAGTAATTTTTAAGTGAGGTGACACATGGGGAAACACAAAACAAATCAGTCTCCGGAAAGGGGTACAGTAGTCCGGAAAGGTTGAGAGCCACTGGGCTAAAGGATACCACATGGAACTGGGCTCAAAAGATGTGGCTTCTGATCCTGCCTCTGCCACTGACTTGCTGTGTGACCTAAAGGGTGTCACTTCCCCTCGCTGATGTGACGCTCAGAGAGGGAGAATGCTGTGGGAAAGCAGCCATGATGGGGGAGGGATAATTGTCCTTAGCACATCCATGGCACTTGATGTCTTCTAACCATAATCAAAGCCAATCAAGTAATTAAAGACCTAATTAAATCCTGCTTTGTGGCCTCATCACAAATCTTCAAAACGCCTGATGTTCCCATGGATGAATGTTCCACAGCAGGCTTTGGCAGCCTTGATTTGTGCCTCAAGCCCAGCATAAATCTCTGTGTGTGAGAATGTGGGGTGCAGAGGAAAGGTGGCTGTACAGTGTATGGCATTACTATGGGTGTCACACACAGAGAAAGCTCTGCACATGCCTTTCCTTTCTTCCTGAGGATTTTCTCCCTTTCCCCCTCCCTCCCCGCCCCATCTCCATCTTTTGTGCTCTCTCAATTTTGTCCTTTGCTTCTTTTCCTGCTCTCCCTCCATGTTGCCTCCTCCCCTACCTGCTCATCCATGGTTTCATCCCCATTCCTTGCCCTCCACCTCTGGCCCTTCTCTATTCTTTCCTCCCCTGCTCTGCCTGGATTATCCTCAGCCTCCACCCTGCTTCCCTCTATGAGCAAGCAATAAAGCAAAGCAAAACTGACCAGCTCTGTCCATTTCATCTTGTTTCTGGGCTAGCCTTGAGAAGAACTCAGGAAAGTGAAACTGACTAGATCCTGTTTTGCTATTTCTCTCACATGTAATGGAAGGGAAGGCAGTAAGGAGAGGTGTTTTGTGCCACCCTCTGGCCTGCACTCCTCGGTATGTTAATCCCTATGCTAGATAAATCTGCTGCTGGAATGTATATTAGTGACTATTATTATTGTCTATATAATGCAATGTAATGTGTGTGTGCATTAATCTTTAGAGGTAGCTAAAAACACAGGTCCAGCAACAAAGGGTTTACAGTCTAGTTATTCGCACAGTTGCACATCCCACATAGGGGTTAAAGATGAAAGTCCAATCCTTTCCCCATAGTAATCAAGGGAACTTTTTTTGTTGACTTCAATGAGAATACAACTGGGCCCAGGGAATCAAATGGAACATTTTCCAAGGGAACAAAGTCTCTCCCCTTTTGATCACACCACTACACCACAGCAGGTTATTTCCATTCCTCCCACTCAGTGATATTTGGGGATAGGGGATTGTTTACAGTCATTGAGGAAAGTTATTCTTTGCATTTGATTTCCCTTTGGTTCCCAACCAATCTTTCCAATGTCAATGCTTTGCAGATGAGTTCTGGTTGGAGTTTTATATCCTTCTTGTACTGTTTGTTTGGTGTTACGGGACTATTCTTTAACATGCATGTTCTCGTTTGGAATGATCTATCTGGTGGCTGAGCCCCTGCTGATGTCATGCATAATTTTTCTGATTGTAAAACCAAACCAAACCACCCAACATTTTGCTAGCTCACTGAAATCTCACAATGGAATTCTGCAAGCATAAGCAATGGTCAAGCACACAGCGGTGCCGATGTGCCTTAATTTTGGCCCGTAACAGGACTCTATGCAGAGTTATGTGTCTCTGATAACAACAAACTTCAGCCAGGTAGTAGATTTAGACTGGCCAAGTCATCTAACTTGTAAGATCAGTCACATTTTCAGTGCATGGAGGAGGCTGTGATAAATGAAGGGGGCAGGGGGGAGTAGCTCCCTTTTATGGACACCCAGCCAGCCAGTAGTTAAACTTCTTAGTAGCTGTTCTCTAATTGCTCTACCTGTAAAGGGTTAAAAAGTCTCCCTGCGATGCATAGGTAAAAGGAATCACATCAGCCATACCATCAGGGGCTCGTTCACCTGCACATCTACCAATGTGATATATGTCAT